TTTGAAGAGAAGTTTAACTTCTCAATAACGACTAAAACAAGCTTTATTCGTAAGTTGAAGTTCTGAGGTCATTTATTTTTGTCAGCAATGAGGTCATTCGTGATAAAAATAAGCCGCTAGCGGCAAGGGCGAAGCCCATGTGGTCATTTACAATACTGCGATGGTAGAGTTTAAGAGTTGTGCTTCAATGTAGAGACAGTCCTTATGGTCTGGAGGTAAGAACACTGGGCAGTTATGGTCATGAGTGGAGAACATGTCTATCCAAAACTCACGATTGAAGCCAGTTAATTTATAGTATTTAGGGTTAGGAAGTGGTGAAGTTCTTGTATGACCAATGAACTCATTTTCAACTCCCTTACTTAAGTTTGAATATAATATAGCTTGCTTTCTATCCCAAATGCCTGGAAATCTAATTTCGGAAAAATCATTTTTCCTCGGAAGCATTGCATCATAATTGAAAACATTCTTGAAATCATCACTTGGTTCAGAGATTTGAAATCTTATACGTAATGGATTTTCTTTCTTTTTAGCGACTTCATTGAATGGTGAGAATACAATGAATTGACAGTCATGTGTTCCATCTTCATTTGGTACAAACTCGTAATGAAAAGCTATTAATCTTTCTACAATTCCTTCTTCTTTCAGTTGTGCAAGAAACTCACGTAAAGGCTGTAAAGTTTGTACTTCAATGTTAAACTTCTTTTGAAAATTTTCGTAAAATGTAATTATACAGTCTTCTAACGTTGTATCGTCTTTAAAGTATTTGTATATGTGAATGTTTTGGGCGCTTAAAGACTGTTCGTCATTTTCTATCTCGACTTGAAGTATAAAGTCAACCTTTCTGAAAGCACGTGTTATATACATATTTGTTATGCCAATGTACTTCTCTTCATTTATGTTCACAATCCAGTCTGTTGGAAACTTAAACGTTACTCTGTTCCCCTTTATTTTGACGTCAGGGTTTTCACTACTGAACGCAACAGATAAAGGTATTTGTCTATACATTTAATTCGGATAAAAATAAACCATTTACTCTTTCTTTGCTTCAGCTTCTTTAGCTTTTGCTTCAGCTTCTTCTCTAGCTTTCTTCGCCAGCAAACGTGGGTTCTTTTGTCTTCCAGCAGCTAATGCAGCAAGTTTTTTTCACTAAGTTTTCTCTTTGGTCTCTCTGGCTTTTGTTCTTGTTTTTGTTCCTTCAGTTCGGATAAAATTTGCTCACGAATTTCTTTCTTCAATGCTTCAACATCTATGACCCCTTGGGTCTTGTCCGTAGGGCTTGTCTGAGTCATTTGACTGCAGATAAAAAACAAAATTAAAACTTTAACCGATGTAAAATGAGCTTGTCAAAATCAGAGCGAGAGTCTATTATATTAAATGACGCAAGAGGAATACAACATCCTTTCTATTACGTAAGTCAGAGTAAAGATGGTAAAATATACGTAAGAAAAAGAAAGGTTCCATTAGCGAATGCAGAAAGCGACAACATTAAGGTGTATGGCAAGGGTGAAGTCCACGAAGCCCATATAAAACCTTCTGTTCAAACTGAGCCACCAATAGAACCAGAAGAAAAGAAGCCAGATGTACTTTCAATAACGAACCAAGAGCTTATTGCAAAGTTCGTGAATTTCATTGAAAAACAAACCGAGTCAAAGAACCCTGACCCACCAGTGAAAGAAGTTGAGACAAAAGAGAATGTACAGTTCATTGAAAATGTCAAGAAACAACTTCCACCACGAATGCCAAGAAGAAGAGTGAGAATAATGAAGTAAATAGATATTTTTATCCGAAGTAAATACATGCAGAACGAACAGTTAAACGAATTTACTCCAGCAGAGCATATTCATCAGATTCGCTCATATTTCGATATCATAGACAATGCAGTTCAAATTGGTGACACTAATAGAAAATATTCTGACGCAAAGATTCCATCACAACCTGGAACTGCTAAAGATAACACATGGGTAACATTCAATCTCTCACCTCCTGGTGAAAATATGTTGGACCTTTACAATACATTCATTACGTATAAAATGGAAGGTCAATTTATTGTAGATAAAGAAATTGGTTCAGGTTCCAATAAAACAAACCCACCAGGATTTTGGATTGGTTTCGATGACGCTTTCTATGCAGTTGCTGGATATCAAATCCTTGCAAATGGTCGTATCGTATATTCTCAAGACAACGCAAGAGAAGAAGCATATATAACTTCAAACTCACAAACTACCGAACAAATAAAGAAAGTAGATGTTTTCTCAAAGACTCGACATGAAGATGTATGGAGTCATTCGGGAACATGCAGAACAGGACAAATTGTTAGTGGTCCAATTACAGCAGGAAAATCATTTGATTTTAAGCTTCGTTTAAGAATTCCTGTTAGAAGATTCCTTCCATTAGAAGCTATTCGATTTATTCCAGCTTTTGCAGGAAACATTCAGCTTAAAGTAAAGTTCAGTAGCGACGCCTTACAATGCACATCTATATCTGTAAATGTTATCATTGCTTTCAATCCAACTCTTAAAGTTGCATTTGCTTCAGATTCAAATCCACCGACAAATAAATTTGTTCCATGGAATGAACCATTCACTATGATAACGAAGGCAGTAGAAGCTAGTGGAACAGTTACTATTACAACTGTAAACCAGCAACTATTTCGAACAAAGATGGATTTTAATGAATGTTTCATTCATCCAAAGTCATTCTCTTTAGACCCTAACATTTATACAGAACTTGTAGAACATTATACAAACGAGGCTTTATGTTTTCCTGTTAAAGTTATGGATTGGATTCCTATGGACGGTTCATTCTCAAAGAATACAGATAGTTCAAGTGCAACATTTACAGCAGCTTATACGCCTATTAATGTTAAAAGTATTTGGGCACTATTTAGAAAGAAAGACAACTATTATGTTAATTTTGAGAACCCTAAGTTTAAAAAAAATGCTATTCCTACCAGCGGCCGATAGTCATTTATGTTTGATTTGTCATTTATAGATGTTTCATAAAATTAATTTTTATGGATAAACAATTTTTGGCGGGCTGACATCTGATTTGCTATCCTTTCTGATTTTATTTGAACAATTCATTTGAATTTTGAATACACTGAATTTCATCTAGTTTTGGGACTGTAATATTGCAAATTAAATTTGATATTTTTATTTGAGCCTTAATTCATAAAAAGAATCAATGATTCAAATAGTCATACTATTGAGTAATTAAAGACATCTCCACAATTAATAGAAATAAGAAAATATTTTGTTTTGATTAAAATCTCAAGAAATCAATTCGAATCAACAAATATGATCAGGATAGATTTCATAGATGACTCTTTCCAAGTTGATTTCTATTAATTCGTTTTTGTGCATAAGTTTTATTGTAAAATCTGGAGAATTTGTCAAAATTGATTGATTATAAAAATGGGAAAATGACTGAAGCCATGAATCAAATTTCCATTTCTAATGACGAGCGTGATTTCTTGCGATATGATATGCATATTGATCTGCTTACCAAGTTATCAATTGTTCGTCTAATTCTTCTCCACATTATTTTACTATTAATTCCTTTAATAATGACAAAATTTTTTCCGAAAAGAATTAAATTGCAGAGAATACACATAAACCAGCCATTATACACAACTGAAGCCGTTAAACAATTTTCATTCTTCATTAATAACTTAAATTCGATGCATGATAGTTATATATTATCATATAATTTAGTATTAAATTCATCAAACATATCGAGCATCAACTTTACAGCAATTTTTCACTCCGAAAATTCGATGAAAAAAAAGAATGATCTTACAAAAAGAATGAATTGGAGAGCAAATCAATCATCATTGCTTTTACATTCAGGGTACTTCCAAAATACTAAATCAATGAGTTGTACATTGTTTTTTCCAGATTTTATTGAAATTAAAACAATTTATTGCTGGATAGAATTCACTACATCGGCAGTTGAGATGTTTCACATTCTAATTCGCATGTCATATCAACTGATTTTATATTGTTTATACAAATATTTAAGAAAAGAAATGAAAAAGAAAGGATACAAGTGTAAAGAGCAGTTGAGCACAAGGTTTTACATACAGATTATGCTATTTCTACTCTTCCCAATTGATATAACTCGAAAATTTTTAAATCATATTCTAATACGTATTACAAAAGGCATTTTTAGTACAATTTCCGAGTTTATTAGCTCAATTGTAATGATGATGTTTCTATGCGAGCAGGTTAACTATAATTCTCAGATAAAAAGCGTTATGGTTTTGATTAATTCAATATCAACATTTTCTTTTACGATTTTCTCGGTATGCGAATCTATATATAACTCATCTATTGCTGGTTTCGATGAACAGACCAACTTTTCGATATATTTGTTTATAATTGTAACTTTTGCATCATTTATTTTAATTTTCTTAGCTCATAACTTCGTAGACCCTGATCATGAGTACTATGTAGCTATATATTCATCAATTCTCATAATTAACAACTTATCTATACTTTTTAACCATTTCTTGAAACAAATAGAACTCCATTCATCGTTTCGAGATTTAAGCGAACCATTTTATCTGACAAACTTTCTTGTAATTGCTATTTTGCTGACAATTATCCATTCTCCAATAGATAATTCATTTGTTATCGATGGAGGACTGCAAGAATTCAAGAACCAGAAAAAGTTAAGATCGTTATACCAGAAGCAAGAAAATGTCAGCCAAGATATTCCAAATTCCACATCTCTATTCTCAGATTCAGATTAATTTGTATTTCTTTACGAATAAATGTTTATTGTTTATGTATTATTAATCAAAAATCTCATCAATATACAAAAATTAAAAAAATAAATGGGAAATTAGACAAGAAAAAGAAAAAACCTATTGAATGATATCTATTCACAATCATTGTGTATTTTTGAATGCTCAAAGAGTAAAGCTGACTTTTGATTTTCTATTTCATTTCAATGTAAAATTAAAAGATAGTAAGACGAATATTCATTAATGAATGAGTTTAGTGGGATCCAAGTTCCTCCTTACGCTGCTGGCGGCGGATCTTGTGTGCTTCAGCACGTTTGCCTGAGCCCCAAACCTTAACTTTTTGGCGGCGGGCGTTCTTACGCATACGGCGTGTAACTTTGCCCTTTTCGGCAAGACCAGCCTTGATTAAGCGGTGCTTTGGCTCTGTCTTCTTAAGAGCATCGATGGAATCGTAAATGAAGCCGAAACCAGTTGTATGGCCACCACCGAACTTTGTTTCGAGGCCGAAAATGACAACGAGGTCCTTGTTGGCCTTGAGGCGAGATGCGACTTCATCCTTGATTTCGTCACGGGTTGGGGCCTTAGCGCCGAGGTGCTGCATATCAACAACAAATTGCTTGCGGTCGAGGAGTTTGTTGACGATGTACTTGCGAATGTGAAGGGTGACCTTGGACATTCAAAAAAGGCCGCACAAATACACGAACGTTAGGAGTCACTTTTTCTTCAATTAGCCACATTGGACATAAATCAATAAATTTATTAGAATTGTTGTAAACAGAAATTCATCAAAAGTGACACCTCAGAAAAGCTAAAATATTGAATTTTTGGAACTTTTGATAGAGCACGTTTTTAAATATTAATTAAAGTAAATGTATATGTTGTAAAGATTCTTTTTAATAAAAAATAAAATTTTGAAGAAGAACACAAAATCTTCTGAAAAATAATATCACATAAACTCATATTATTTTCTAATATATAACTATTTTATATAAAAATCAAATTCAATGATCTTAAAAGCGAAGGATAAACCTCAAAATTTACGAATATAATGAGTGAGAATATAATGCTTATCTATCATAAAACCATATGAAATATCAATTTTTGCTTTACGCCTAATTTTTGACGACAATTAGCAAAAAATGTTAAATGTTAACACTCAGTCCATTTGAATATGAAAAATAAAATTGACTTTGATTAAATGTTTTTATTTATCATGCAATTCTTCTTGCGACCAAAGATTTGAATAAAATTTCAAAAAATAAGATAGCTTAAAAAATAATATACGGTAGTGTTTACTAATAGATGAATAGTATATAAATTCTATTAAAATGGATTTGATCCAAAAAAATATAAAACCAAAAATAATTGTTATAATTTAAATGAAGAAGTAATTTAAAACGATTTTATTTATGATCAAATTTTATATATTTTTTTGGATCAAATCCATTTTAATAGAATTTATATACTATTCATCTATTAGTAAACACTACCGTATATTTTTTTAAGCTATCTTATTTTTTGAAATTTTATTCAAATCTTTGGTCGCAAGAAGAATTGCATGATAAATAAAAACATTTAATCAAAGTCAATTTTATTTTTCATATTCAAATGGACTGAGTGTTAACATTTAACATTTTTTGCTAATTGTCGTCAAAAATTAGGCGTAAAGCAAAAATTGATATTTCATATGGTTTTATGATAGATAAGCATTATATTCTCACTCATTATATTCGTAAATTTTGAGGTTTATCCTTCGCTTTTAAGATCATTGAATTTGATTTTTATATAAAATAGTTATATATTAGAAAATAATATGAGTTTATGTGATATTATTTTTCAGAAGATTTCATTCTATATGCCTATGAAAAGTACTCTCAAAACTAACTTTTCCTAATTATAATTAAATCTAGAATATTGTATTATGCTTAGTATTATTTCATTTTTCTCATTCAATTTAGAATTTACAAATGTCAAAAAATTGAGAGCTGTCACTTTTGATGAATTTCTGTTTATTACAGAATAATAATGTATATGAAAAGTGGTATGTAAAAATTCAATTTGTCATGATTTGTGAATCAGGGAAAAATCAAAAATTGCAATTCAATTCTTTAAGCATGAAGGATATAATTCCAAACAACAATTTAGAGGATTCAATAAGTCATTTGGGATGAAATTAAATAAATACCAAAAATTATCAGAATCAATTTTGATTTTCTTCACGTGATATTCTAATGGACGATTGCCCTCAATGTATACATAACTTGTGTAGCAAACATAGTCGCTATACTGATGAGTTTTTTTATGCAGAAGGCAAATTTAGAAAAAAGTCACTTTTTATAATTATGAAAAATTCAAATGATAATATTTTTTCAACCAAAGAGAAATACGCAGTATTTATTACACACCTTCCAAAAGAGGCTCCACCAGATGGTGTAATACGGTGGGTAAAAGATATAGTTTCTCGTCGATATAGTAAAGAAATTAATATTTCAAACAAAATATATCTAGGCGACGGAATAACATTCACAGTTGACGATCAATTTCAATTTGAAATGATATTATTGATGAATGGATCTACAATGCATGATATTCCAATTTGGATTCTAAAATTACCTTGCGAAATGACATTATTAGCTACAACATTTAGACAAATCTTTGAAAAGTCAATTTCTGGAACTTCACTTGATTTTAGTAATCTTGCGGCCAAGTTTTTAAGTGTTCAAGCAAATTCCGAAAATATTGACTTCTCTTCCCGCTGGTTTGTCGAATATATGTTTTACAGAATCGCAGTCGAAGCCGAAGAGCGTAAAACAAAAATAGTTTCTTTAAATTTAAGTTCAAATAAAATTAATAACGTGAAAACATGGAATCCTTATTATAAATTCTTACCAGATCTATCAGAAATATACTTCAACAACAATATATTTACAGAACAACCCGATAATACCGGTTTAAACATCAATTTTATCACAAATCTTCCAAGTACATCAACAGCTGTTAATTACGCACCGTCATCTGGCTCAAAGCCAGTAAAGAAGTGGGATTCGCATAATACTTTTAATAAAAAACCACAAAAGAATATTAAAGATGATTGGAATGCTCCAGATAATGTAAATGTGCAAGAAAACAATTGGGGAGATGACAATGACTCATGGGGATTCAATGGAAACAAGCCAAATAAGCAAAATAAGACTTTTGATTCGAACAAACAGGGATGGCCAGGAATTAGCCAGGGATGGGGTCAAAACCAGAATCAGAATTGGGGACAGAATTCAAACTGGTCACAGCCAGGTCAAGATCAAGGGTGGGGACAAGATCCAAACCAAAATTCCGGCTGGGGACAGAATCAGAACCAAAACTCTGGTTGGGGACAAAACCAGAATCAAAGCCAAGGCTGGAACCAAAATTCAAACCAAAATTGGGGGCAAAATCAGAACCAGATTCAAAATTGGAACTCAAACCAGAACCAATTCCAAAACCAAAACACGGGATGGGGCTCAAACCAAGGTTGGGGTAACCAGAATTCATTTCAGAACCAAAATCAAAACCAAGGCTGGAATACAAATCAGTATCAAGGATGGAATGCTCCAAATCAAAATACTAACCAGGGATGGCCCAATCAAAACCAAAACATGAACCAAAATTGGCCTTCGAACCAAAGTTTTAACTCAAATCCAAATCAAACCCAAGGCTGGGGACCGAATCCAAGCCAGAACCAAAATTGGGGCCAGACACAAAATCAAGGCTGGAATTCCAACCAAAGCCAAGGCTGGGGACCAAATCAAAATCAGAATCAGGGCTGGGACAACAACCAATCCCAAAATCAAAGATGGGGATCAAACCAGAATCAAAACCAAGGCTGGGGGTCCAATCAGAACCAAAACTGGAATTCAAATCCAAATTCAGGTTGGGGAGCCGACCAAAATCAGAACCAAGGCTGGAATTCCAATCCGAACCAGAGCCAGAATCAAGGCTGGGGATCAAATCAGAGCCAAAACTGGAATTCTGGTCAAAGTTCGAATTCTGGCTGGAATCAACCAAATCAGAACCAAGGCCCAAGTTCTGGGTGGGGCCAAAGTTTCTCTCCTCCTCCGACAAATTTGCCTTCAGCAACTCCAGTCAACGTTTCTGGGACTTTATTCGGAAACAATCCTCCTCCAACACAACCAGCTGATCCTTCTATGCTGCCACAAAGCGTTGACCCTTCAACTATTCCTGAAGTAGAACCAATCTTTTCATAAATAATATTTTTTGTTTTGTTTGTTCTTATAAAGCTAAAATCATATGATTTGTTACTACATACAACTTTTCGAATGCAAAATATCAATTTGAATAGCTTATTGGAATCTTTTTATGAGATGATTTTTTTTGATATCATTTTATTAAAATTAAAAACATTCGAAATTTTCATATTACAGGAATACATATGGAACAAACCATCAGGCAAGATAAATTCCATTATTTGCGTTTTGATAAAGGTAACTAAACTCCTTTCGCCGATCCGATTTGCTCCATATTTAAAATATAGCTTGCATATGTAGAAGAAAAGCTAATTTTGAAGTACGCCCGAAATCCACCAACAGGATTTCGAGCTACTAAAAAGGTACTTTTAAATGTGATTTTTTTTATAAAAAATTAAATTTATTTTAAGATCAGACTAAAAACTAATTTTATGGAAAATCTATATCGACAAATTTATTACTTATTGGGTATATAGAATTTTTGATTATGGCGATTATGTCTGATATGCTTCCAATAAGCCAAAACACATTTCATACTGATTTCTATAAAAGGTATCTTTATTATAGAAGTGTAAGCTATATCTGTTTGTTTTTTTATTATAACAAATTCAAAATTCTCTTATAAGGACTAGATGAAATCTGTATTATTAAATCATTAGCTAAATGAAGGTTCAAATAGAAAGTAAATATCAATTTATATGATACTGAAACCAAATAGTTCTTTTAATAAAAGATAACACGCTGAAAATTATTGAGTATTTGCAAATCTCAAAAATCTATTGGTGAATTTGGCTCAACTTTTAAAATTATAACATCCATATCAAATCATAAAAGCAGACAAAAATTAAAGCCAAACCTATCGGCCAATTTTTTTTTGATATTTTGATTTTTGAGGTATACTTTTAAAAGTGGATTTAAAGCACTGATGAAAAAACATTAACTTCTGTCGTTATGATTATTGATTTAGACAATAATGATTTTAATCTTTGATTATCAAAACACTAAAGTCATCTTTTTAACATTTGCTTGGTAGCATTAACTCAAGTCTAAAGTACTATTTTATGTGGCACTCTTAGAATTTTTGTATTCATTGTACACGCTGAAATAGTACCATTAAAGTTATGGCGGACTTTCAAAAAATAGTTTGGTCACCTTTGTTTTGATTCTGATTGAGTGATTTTTCCAGAAATTTTGACTGAGGAAACTTTATAACATATAAAATACAAGCTATTTCATACAAAAAACAATAAACAATTTTATTTATTCCATTTTGGATCTGATGGTTTTGGATCTTCTATCTTAAATCCGAATAATCGTAATTGTGGTTTCGGTGGAAGTCTATCTGGCTCATATGATTGCTGAACTTCAGGATATTGCTTTAAAAATTTCATTATATAAGAAGATCCGAACGCCGAACCATCAATTTGAGAGCATATTTGATTTTCTGCATGATAAACATCGCCACAAAAAGGACAGTACATATACAAACACCCTTCTCCGAGTGATTCTGATAATCCTATTGGCAAACATTGTCTATTACAGTTCACATTCGGACATCTATCGTAATCATTGTTTTCGTATTTCTTTTTTAGCTTTTCTAAACCCGCTTTTTCCATTATGAATCGTGAATGTATTAATCCGTATAATCTAATGCCTAAATCATCTATATTTTCATCAAGATCGTAGCGTATGCGATTTTCAGGAGGTATGTAATCTCCTTTAATATATTCTAAAACTTTTTTATAATTCGGAACTTTTTTAGGGAAACCAAACAAATTGAACTGATCTTTTATATACTCCATTTCAACCCGTATGAAATACTTCCCTATAGGATGCTTTGTAAGAAACCAGGTAATCCATGACTTGTCTTCATTCATTAAAAAAATTAAATGAAAAATTTCAATTCAAAAAAATTTTTAACCAAAGAAAACGTCTGAAATTGAATCTCTTTAATTCCCAAATGAGGAACAAAGCGGAATAAACTCACAGGGTTGTAAAACAAGTTTTTCATTGATTTCCACGCGTTAATTCCTTACTCTGACATGATTTCAAAATTGTTTTTTGAATTATTTAAGAGTTATTGCCAAATCAACAATTAAAACTAACGTTTTATGGAATTGTTAGATGAATTCCATCATTTTAATGAACTAATCTTCAGTTCAAAATGAACTCAATTTGAATAAGAATATTAATGGTGTTTTAATTATACAAATGCATCATACACGCAAAATAATATGTACCCCATGACTCATATTTCTGAATTTACAATTTTTAAACCCGAACCCATTAATTATTTCGTGAAAAAAGTAACTAATTTTGAACAATATTCGCCTTGATTCATCTCAATTTTAACATACTCCTTTGTTCATAAAGAAATCTAAGCAGCAAGTAAAGTAGTATATGTTGATGGGTTTTGTGACTTTTTTTGTAAACGTAAGAATTCATACAATATCGAGCGATTTTGTATCATTTTTTTAACATATGAAGTAAAAAATGTATGATTCTTACGGTTTTTATTCTTACATTTTTGAATAAATCAAGATTTAAAAAATTTTCAAAATTGTAAGACATTTACACTCAGCCCATACATAATGAAATAAAAAATAAAATTTTTTTAAAAAATAAACTTTAAAAATTCATGTCTTACGAAAAATTAAAACTTAGTTATGTTTATTATTTTATTTTTTTATTTTGTATGAAATGAGCGTCAAAACTAACAACGTTAAAAAATTAGGATTCACAAACGAGGAAATAAAGGATATATTAGAGGAGGTGGGTTATGAAGTTGATAAATATTATTTAAGAAATTGTCAAAAATTTGCCGGGTTATTAAATGATTTAGATTATGATGGAAAAATGAATAAAGATGATGTTATAAATTTCTTATATCCCACATCTGAAGAAGAAAAACCTAAAGAACCTGATGTTTTCCCCGAATATTATGAAGAACGGATTAAAGATGATGAATACAATGAAATTGAAAGACTGAAAAAAATAAGAGATGAAATAGATGAAAAAATTAAGGAATTAAGAGAAGTTGAAAAATATAATGAAAATGAAGTAGAGGGTTTAATGAATATCCCAGCTTCAGAATCAGAAGTTCAGAAATCTCATGAAGAAAGATATAAAAATTATGTCTCAGAATCAACACAAAATTTATTAGATGGTGAAATAGACGAAACACTTTCAGAAGAAGGTACTAAATTTATTCGTAAACATAAGTTACAATTTATTGATAATGAAGAATACCCCTGTATCCTACTTTCACCACCTTTAGATTCCGAAAAATTCAAAAAAGCTCTTAAAAACGTGACATATGCAACTAATACGATTAAGAAAGAAGATCATGATATTTACACAATTATTATTTAAATAAATGCACGGGTGTTGATAAAATTTTTGATTTATTAGATAAAATATCAAAAAAACCATTGGAACCTATAAAATTTTGTGTGATTGTGGTTTCATTATTGAAGATACTAATAATGTTTCATATGAAAGAACAGCACCGAAGGAAGACGAAGTTGAAAGGTCTATACCATTCGTTATTAAGAACATAAAAGATATGAAAACGTATAAGCATTATATTTATTCATTTATTTCAGAAAAAATGGAAGCAACCCATAAAACATCTTCTCATCATTTTATAGCTATTCATACAATTCCTTTTCAAAGTTGTGAAATTAAATAAGACAGGAATTAGATTTAATGTATCGGTACGCATTCTTGAGTAAATTAAAATGTATTCGTCACGTCGCGGATGATAAAAATTTATGTGTTCTTAATTCATTTTATGGGCTTTAAAAAATAAAGTTTATTTTATTTATTTTTTAATTTTTTATTCTTACATAAATGAACAAAAACGGAACAGCTAAAATGAATGATAATCAAATTAGAGCAGAAGGTAGAAGGTTATTTAAACGCTTCTATAACATTCCTGATGGTGTTAATCCTAAAACTCGTAGAAGCTATTTAAATGAAGCAATAGATGCCTATGAAGGGTTTAACATTTCATCAGAAAGTGAGAGATTAGCGAGAATGTTAAATGTTAATATTGATTTCTATTATTGTGATCCTCAACCAGAAGACGTGGACATAAATAAGGTAGACTTTCCATTAGTGGAATCAATAATGATAGATCCAGAATTTGAAACAGTAAATATTTTATTAACACAGAGTCCATGTGGAAAACTTCACGCTGACAGAATAACAGACGTTGAAGCACTCACCGGCTATAAAGTTTGTCCATATTGTAAAGAAGAAGTTTATTCTATCCGCGATGATCCAAAGGAAAAACCAAGAAGATTTTTAAAGCATTGTGAGAAATGTAAAGAAAATAATGGGAGATTAATTCAAGACGTTCAGTTGCAAAAGACACAGCAACCATATGCACCACACATTATGAAACAGAAGATATATCAGTGGTTATTAGCTCACAATTTGCAGAAATATTATAAACCGACAAGATATTATATTACTTTTGACTTTGAAACATTAGAGACTAAAGAAGAATTACAACTTTCTGAGTGTGCAACTTTGAATGCTTACTTAAAACCATTCATGGTATCATCAACGGTTAAATTAAATGATAAACATATACGAGGAATTTTGCTTAACTTCGAGTGATTCTTTTATTTCTGATTGGATTGAGTTTTTATTTTCAACCTGTTCATTAGTTGCTAAATCAAATATTGAACAATATGAAGAATTATTGAAGCCGCAAACGGTGGGGACTTTGTCTCATACATTAAATGAAAAACAGAAGGAAGCATTTAAAGAACTTCTAGATGAGGAATTCAATAAAGTGAATATCATAGGTTTTAATTCGGGAAAGTTTGATTTAAATTTAATTCTTCGTGATTTAAACACTGCAAAATGGAAAATAAAATCAATGCTGGGTTCATCTTCACAATTTAAGCAAATCATTGTAAAGAAAACAAACGTTCCATATGAATTGAGATTTATTGACATCAGAAATTATATAGCGGGTGGGACATTAGACCAATTCACTCAAGATTTCGGAAACAATAAATCACGTGTTAAATCCTTTTTCCCTTATCAATTCATCACGTGGGAAAATTACGAAGAAGAATTATATAAAATGGAACCATTCACTCAAGATTCATTTTATTCAGCATTAACTCAAGAAACTATATCAGATAGTGATTATCAAATATATCTCAATGATGCTAAAAATTTTAAGAATAGATTAGAATATTTTATTCATTATTGCAATAAAGATGTTGAAATTATGATTGACCCAATTGATAAAATTATTGAAGAAACATTTGTTTATAAAATTGACACGCTTCATAATCTTTCTTTATCATCGAATGCTTCAATGATTCGTTACGCTTTAGCATATAAAGACTTTAATCCTAATGAAAAATATCCTGAGGAAGAGATAGAATCAAGTTTTGAATTAACGAAAAAGTATTGGAAATATAAAATTGAATCATATAAGAAACAAGATGAAAAAGCAGAAAGAGATACTAAAAATAATGTTTCAAGGGATGATTTTCAATACTATCACGATTTAATCCTTTCATCTAAATGCAAAATGTGTGGTAAAGCGTTTACATATGCAAATAAACCAACATTGGATAGAATCGATAATGAAAAACCACATACCAAAGAAAATTGTCAGTTAATGTGTTGTTATTGCAATGTCGTAAAATCAAATAAAGATGAAGATGTTCAACGTTTAAGAATCAATTTAAGAAATTATGCATTAAAAAATAATTTACCAATGACTTTAGATTCAGTTGAAGCTTATCACATTCTCCGTAATGGAATTACTGGTGGTCTATCAAATGTTCAACATAGAGTAAATCTTAAAGGAATCACGCACATTAATAAACTTTCATATAGTCCAGAAACTAAAACTGTATCAAATGAGGACACCACCAACATTATGACTCATTTCTTTGGTGTTGATTTTAATTCATTATATCCTTCATCATTTTCATCTAATCCTCATGATTTCATTCAATATACTGACCATAAAATGTATATGCCGGGAAGATTGAATGGTGTTATCATTTGTGATACAGCAACAAAGAAAGCAAAAGCACTGGGAATTATTAGAAAGAAAAATACTTTATTCGTGGCTGAAGTAAAGGGTCACATTGATGAAAAATACATTAATGATTACATAAACTTTTTACCGATAATAAGAAACTTAGATATTATCACAGATGAAAAAACAATTGGCAGTTTTATGTATAATTACATGAAATCAAACAATCTACCAGTTGACCAGAAACAGAGGAAATTAACTCAGTTAGCATCAACACACAACCAATATCAACCATTTTCTTCTTATTATCTTTGGTATCTAATAGACAGATTTCATTTTATCATCGATGATATTCAATCAATTTTAACATTTACTAAAAACACTTGTTTTAATGAATTTGCGAACGAATTTATGAACGAAAGACAAAAGGCTGAATTAGAAGGAAATAAAGGAAAAAGTTTATTTTGCAAGATTTCGCTTAATGGATCATATGGTTACGATGCAATGAATACACAAAATTACGCAAAGACTAAAATAATGAATGCACAGAAGGCACGCGTTGCATGTATGTCAAATAAGTTTAAAAACATAAGAGAAATAGGAGAGGATACGTATCAAGTGATGCTCAAAGATAGATTTTATAGATGTGATACATGTTTACAAGAGGCATTCTTCACTTTAGATAACGCAAAATACTGGTATTTAGTTTTCATTTATGATTTTATGTATAAATGCATGAATGTTAATCGTTTTCATTTCATTGAAGGTGATACTGATTCATCTTATTGGGCAATCGCTGGCGATCCAAATCTTCCTAACACTCAAGCATTTCAAGCAATTGTTACCGATAAACAATTTTATGATAAAAACATTTTCAAATTCGCACCATTTGATTTCTTCTGTTTTGATGAGAAATTTAAACCTAAATTAAAGAATAAAGCTGAAGAAAAAGCACATGAGAAGAAGTTATTGGGTTTAGCAATTGAGAAACAAGGTGATAACATGGTTGCTTTATGCCCCAAGTGTTATACATCATTCAACGGTTCAATTGATGGAAGTGATTTTAAAAAGATTGCACAAAAAATGAAAGGTGTTAGTTTACGACAAAATAAACAATTAACACCTAAAAATTATTTGGATATAATAAATGATAAAGTGATATTTGATGGTCAGAATATTAATTTACAACTTAAAAACGGGTCAATGACTCGCTTAACAATCGGTAAGACTGCATTAACAGGAGCACACACTAAGGCTGTATGTTGTGAAAATGGATGTTGTATGCCATTTATTTAATACAATTTAAAAACGTAGGGGTTGAGTCATGAATTTAAAATTTTATTTTTAATAAAATGCCACAGAAGAGACAAAAGGAACCGTTAATGATGTGATTCAATATGTAAATAATGGTTTTGATACTATGATTCAAAGAGGTGGGCACCCTTAAAACATTTATTTTATTTTTATATAAATGGATAACGTAGATTTAGAAATTTTAATTGATGATTTAGTACATTATCAAAATTTTCTTGATTATTATGAATTAAAATCATATCTCCAAAAACATAATAACAATATAACGGGTGATGATATGGGTTATTATTATCGGTATTATAAAAATGAAATTTTGAAATATCATGATAAAATAATTTCTAAAATTAAAGACAAAATTAAAAATAATGAATATACAAAGGGAAAAACTAAATCACAACTTAAACAATTGAAAGATTTCAAAAATAAAGTATTAACAGAAGAAGATATTGATGAATTATATAAATTATATAATCCTGAGCCGCAAAAGCCAAAGGAACAAAAGCCAAAGAAGAAAAAGCCGAAAACAACACCAAAAGAGAAAGTAGCAAATGTTCAACAGCCAAAGAAGAAAAACGCCCAGGTCCTTCAGACCATAAATGATGCACAAGCTTTAATTTATGATTCATTAGTTAAACCATATTCAGCCTGACTTTTAAATGAAGATCAACTTTTGGAATTCATCCTTCAACATAAACTCGAAGCGGGAAAGTATATCAAACCTTTATATACAGCATATTTAAAACAAATGAATAGAATACATCCAGAATTAATGAAAGGAGGAATGAAATCCAAAACTTCATCATCCAAAATCAAAGCAGATAAAATTAAATCACTTGCAATACCAAAACCTCCAACGGTAGTACCTCCTCCTTCAGTTAATCCTTCATCATTCACTTTATTATATCCATTTCAAACATTAAAGAAGCTAAAAGATTTTAAAAAGGATTTCAAAATATTAAATAAACCAACTGACCCAAAAATTCAACCGTTAAAGGAAAAATTTAGTCGCCCTTCATTTGCACCATATCCATATTCATACGAAATCGATCATCTGGAATATTCAAAAGGAAACGTTACTTATTTATTTGCCATTAACATTAACACCAGATATTTATATTGCATTCCGGTGAAAGGGAAAACAGAACAGGAAACAAGAAGAGCTATACAATACTTACTAGATCATGAAAGAGTAGATAATATAAGGGGTGATGGTGATAAAGGATTTCAGGCAGCTATGGCTCATTATTTCCCACAAATTAATTTTTACTTTTCATCCTCTCCATATACGTTTCATAATAAAATAGTTGATGCGGTAATGAGAACTCTTAGAGATGCGTTAGGAGTTAACGGTCAGATATACTGGGATGGAAATCATGACTCCATCATACAGCAGTTAGTATATATTATTACAATAATACATGGCATAGAACTATAAACATGAAACCAGTGGAAATGAAAAATGATATTTCAAAAGAATGGGAATATATTAGAAAGCAAATGGAAAGGTTGAATGATGTGAAACGTGAACAAATTAATTCGGGGCTCATGAATTTTAAACAAGGGGATAAAGTTTTGATTCATCTCGATTATGGAAAAACTGATAAATCAATGACAAAAAGAAGACGAAGATTTGACACAATAGCTGAATTTGTTAGATATATTAACGGTAATGTATTAGTTGAAGTTGACAATAAATTAATAGAAATTCCGATTTATTTTATTACTCCATTATATTTAAATAATATTTAATTTTTTTATTTCGTAAGAAATGAGTGACAACAAAGCATCCAAGAGTCCTGATTCAATTAAGATTCAGAGTCCAGACGATGAATATAAAAAGAAACTAAACAGAATTAAATCAAAAATATGCTATTACAAAAAGAAGCCGCAATGCGGTGGGGCTGAAAACGATAAAGAGAGGAAAGAAATATCGAAAAATTAGAAACTTACCGTTCAATCCTCAAACTGAGTGAAGCAAAAATAAAAGAATTTAATAGAATAAATAAATTGATTGGAAGAGATGAATTTAATAAAGATGAATTTTTAAACTCAATCCAAATTTAATTTTTTCAGTGCTACCATGTTACCATGTGCTACCATGTCAATTAACTTCTCTTAAAAATGATGACAACATGACATTTTGACAACAACACAGGAAATAAATGTTATCGTTTATGTTTTCATTAATGATTTTAGGTTATTCAATAATTAATTATTTTTGAATAACTGAAGGTGTCACTACGTCACCATGTGCTACCAGGTTAATTAACTTCTCTTAAAAATGATGACAACATGACATTTTGACAACACAGCAGGATTAATGCAAAAATAAATGGTTCATTTACTCACAATATTTTTGTACAAAACGACCCCAAACTTTTAACTTCTTTTCTGCAGTTTCTGAGGCTATCTTAGCGAGTTCATATTCTCTAAATTCTCTCTTTAAATCTTCTTGTTCCCATTGGTCTAGTTCGTATGGAGAATCTCTATAACCATAACATATCTCACGTTCATGTTCTAATTGTTTTTCGCACATTTTTCTAACTTCTTCTTCAAACAAATGTTTAGCATTTTCTACTGTATCTTCGAGTTCTTCTTCATCTAACTTCTCATGAACTTTCTTGTCTATGGAGTCCATAATTTTTCCAACTGCTATGCAATATTTTGGAGAAGCCCACATTGCTATATAGTTTATAAGTCTTGGGTCTACATACGTTCCTCTAACCTGTTTGATTTCATCAGGAATTCCGGCATGAATTTTGTATAAAAAGCAACAGTCCGAATTCCGGCGGTTGCTATATTCTTCACAAAACGCCTTATAATACTCTTCCCAGGACTTATTTTCCAACAACTTTCTAAAGTCTTTCCTAAACTGCTGACACATCTTTGTTGCATTAATGTAACCATCCTTGTCTCTACGTAAGACTTCAATACCATTATAAGTGCCTTTTGTGAATGTTTCGCCATTAGATTTGTTCGTGAACGTCTGTGCTTCGACTGACATTTCTGTTCTTACATACAAAATAAAAAAAATAAAAATAATTCATAAATACCTTCCTCCTGAACTGTTGTCAAAATGTCATGTTGTCATCATTTTTAAGAGAAGTTAATTAACCTGGTAGCACATGGTAACATGATAGCAGTGAAATAAAATTTTGTTATCAGTTATTTTATCATCATTTTATTAAGTTCATCTTTAGTTAATAATTTGAATGGATTCGCTAATGTTCCACCTTGAGTCACAACACTTACCCCGGCTAATTGTGAAGAACCTGGGATAAGTACTCCATGAAATGATTTCATTGGTATCATTAATTTAGAAATAGTTGGCTTAATTAATTTTGTCATTTATGATAAAAATAAAATTGCATAATTTAAATTTTTTTCTTTCTCATTTTCTCATTTTCTCATTTTTCATCCTGTTTTGGTTTCAGCAACTTTTCAAGTTGTTGTCTTGTCAGTAACTTTAATTTTAACTTTGGATCAAATATTGGGTTTCCATCTTTATCTCTTCCAATAACACCATATGGTAGAATCTTCATTTATACTAAAATAAAAATTTAAATTATGCCGTTCGCTCTTTTGGAGCTCAAGACTTTCAGTCCGTTCTAAAGTTTGTTTCACAAACATTGAGCGTTCATTGAACGCGAAACCATGCAAATACAGTCATAAATGGTGGCATATAATCTTCACCCGAGCCTGTTGGATTTGTTGTGAAAGTATGGACATGATTTCCTCCCGGTTCAGTTTGTCGAAAAGTCTTTTTTGTTGAATCGTTATAAGATGGAGATAAAACGTCATGACCAGCTTCATAGTCTGAGTTGTATAATGGGTGGTCTCTTAATGAGTGGCTATGGTCGCCAGAAAAGTTTGTAGTTCCCGTATGAGTGTGCGGTGGAAGGTTTGCTTCTTTAATTTTCTTCGAACCTCCTGTTTGCTTTGAATATCTAGCACAGTATAAGAATTTATCTACAATCTGCTGCCACGTACCAAAACCTAAAACTGTTTCTGGATTTGTTGAATTCATTGATGTATATAAAGAACCAACGGGATATAATGTTTGAAGTATTTCATTTTTCATGCTTGTAATCACATCATTTACTTCCGACTTCTTTGCATAATTTTCATCAACATAAGTTTTATCTGCTTTAAGGTCTAAACATCCTGAAACCCATTCTGTATCAGCTTTAACTTTAAAAGTCTCAAATGTCCATTCATGATACCATTCAACCTTTTCTTTAATTTCATTATCTTTTTCATCAACATAAACCAAATTTGCCTTCTTATTTAACTCACTATCCACATATTCCTTATCTGCTTTCTTCATTATGTCGTTTAGGAAACCTTCTATGAATTCCTCATTTAAATTAAATTTCCAATCTTCAAAACTTTAGGAAATGCATTTAATGCGTAATATCTCTGTTCTTCTGGTGGAATTGATGTTATATCATCCGTTATTCCTTTAATTTTTGAATTCATAAATAAAATTTCTTTTATATTTGATATCACTGCACCACCTTTGCAAACGAATTCGAAACGGTCATTTTTCAATACTATCTCCAAATCTCCATATTTCAACCTTTGCGTTTGTTCTGCCGTCTTTGAATTATATGCATATATGGCGTATGTAATGGTCTGAAGGACCTGGGCGCTTTGCGCCTTAAGTTGTTGTGGTTGCTGTTGTTTAATCATTTATTATGATTTAAAAATAAATATTTAATCCGTTATCTCATCAGCTATTTTCTCTATTTGAAATTGCCATAATATTTCATTCATAAATTCTAAATCACAATCAAATAGGTCAGTTATTCTAAATTTAATATTTGATAAATCTTTTGAATGAAGAATAAATGAATTCCCGGATAATTGAAACGGATATGATAAAGAAAATGTGTTTAAGTTGATGGATAAAATGTTTTGTATTGATGGGTAAGAGTTAGGGTCTAATGTTTGATGTGAAAATCTCATTGGGGTATTAACTTTATCACATTTGATTAAAATGAAATTGGAACCAGTGTCAGAATACAAAACATCCCCAACATCTTTTTCAAAATTTAATATCCCCAACAATGAACGAAGATGAGGAGTACAAAATTTAATTTTCAGCGGAAATTTAATAAGGTTATTTATTTCATCAAGTTCAAAAAGTTTATCAGGTTTTGATTTAAAAATTTCTTCATACCATACGATAAATGATTCATTTAAATAACTTAAAATCGTGTTAATATCCCATTTCGCTATCACATTATTTATATACATATCATACGTTTTTTCATGGTCATCTTTAATAAATGATATATAATCTGAAGGGTCTAAAAGAATGGGATTAAATTTACCACTCACAGAAACGAGAGTAACATTATAAATTCCGCTAACTGTTAAATTTAATTCACAGTTATTATTCGAAATAATATTGATAATTGACATTTTTTATTACGATTAAAAATATGGTAAGCGTTTTTTCCAGTGATAAATAAAACTAGAATAAGATTACCTCAAGAATTCATAAATTCAACGAATAAGAAATTCATTCATGTTATAAATTTTAGTGTTTTCAGAAAATATGAGTCAGTGTCATATTCATCAACAGGTTATATTTCACTTCATTCAAATTTAGTTCAATCAAACCCATATAATGACCATTTCATAAGATTTTCAGATGGTATTAAAAATGTAATTGATAGATTAAAATATGAACAGATTGACAATATCGAATTTTTGGAATTTTGGTTTAAATATCCCGATGGAAAAAAGATTGAAGTTAAAGATAAAGCTGATACTATAACAAAAACAATTACAATGACCGATCCAGATAGTGGGGAACAAAAAGAAATAAAACAAACGATAGAAACTGGTGAAAGGTCAATTATTATCGATTATGATTCAAAGGATTATTATTCGATAATGTTAATGCTTGAATATTAAATAGCCTTAACAAAGAATTTTTCAAGTGATATTTTATATTCATCAACTATTTTATTATAAATATCATTATATGTTAAATGAAGTTCAGTTGTTGTTCCGTTCTTTGATATCTTAATTGTGCTAATATCCTTTATAGGATTTATTTTTGCAACTGTTCCGCAGCATGAAACCTCATCATCTATGAAAAATTGAATCTTAACGTCTGAATCTTGAACATCACAAAGAATGGCGATAATGTGAATTAATGATTCATAAGGTAAATAATTAAACCGGATTGGTCAATTAAATTTATTATTGAATCATAATTATTAATTATTATATCACGGTAAATTTTCATTAATTCAGAATTAATGTCTATTTTATATGGGTTCTCGATGTTTGATGAAAGAGGTGGGGGTATGTTGGATAAGTGGAAATTTCAACAGGTTCTTTACCGGGTTCAGATAAAATGATTGGGTCTCCATCTTCTTTATTTTGCTCCTCCTCCTTTTTCGGTAAGTCACGAGTTAA